TTGTGATTAGTCCTCCACCACAATTATGTCGGGGGGGGGGAGGGGGTGGTGTCCTGTTTGTGCAGAGTTTTTTAAGGTGTTGTATACTTTTGATAAGATAGGAATAGAAAAATCTAAGAAATTCCTTCTGTGGTGGTGGTGGTGTTCCTAAGTAACACTAGACAGTCCGTCTGTCAGATCTTAAAGCTGCCATGCAAAATCAGTTTTTATTGTCCACAAATCAGGTTTGGCAGGACAATCAGGAAAAAAAAATAAATAAAAGATTTATAGATTTATGTCTAAGAAAAATTAAAGTTTGAAGCCAGAACCAGAACATTACTTTCCAAAAGCAGAAGTAAAACATTGGAGAAATAGTTGCGTGTTTGTCTAAATTACATAATCAAAATGCTATTGGAAGCCTCTGTTTTAATTTGAAAAATTTCTCACATTTTACCAAAAAGCAAAACCTCTTTGGCAATTTGGTGGTTCATACTTGAAACCTAGGTGAACAATTTTTTTTCTTTTTCTTTTTTCTCCTTTTACAAGGAAAAGACGTGAGTAAAAACTACACAGCACCCAAATTTTTTTCAACTGTGGAAAAAATACTCTTCATACTAGAGATCAGTGTGAAATCTTTGGTCCTGTGAGCTCATGAACCGAGATGGGAAAAGTCTGTGCAAACACACACATTAAACAGCAGTAGCAGTGTGGGTCTAGTCTGCCATACTTTTACTTTCATTGCAAAAATACAGCAACTGACTGTAACCACATCAGAGGTATCCAGTTCACAGCTACAGCTGTGAATCCACTACAAGATATGCAGTTCAGAGGGGTTTTTTCCCCATCACACTTGTAATTTTGGCATTGTAAATTTGACTGTGATGAGACAGTTTCCACTCTTCACCAGTTTCTTAAGAACGAGATCATGTTCTGATACCCTTAGAGCATAATAGCACCTGTAAAGAAAACTGTTATGTCAAAGTTTTACCATGCGTGTAAAGATTACTATCTTGAAAGAAGTGCCAGTCCTCAGAACTGATTTCAAATACTGCTCTTGTTGTAATGTTCTAGGCACAATTATATTGTATAAATGGGAAAAGATAATATATCATAAAGAATGGATTACACTTTTGTTTTCCCCTGTAAGAAATGAAAAGCAACAAAATAAAAGCAACAATTTCAGAATAAGTTCCCTAGTATGTAATTGGAACTGTGAGGAGGTAAAATAAATCACGGATAGGAGGTTTTTTGTTCTTTAATTATGAATTTCACTGTGGAAAGAAGTCCAGCTAAGATGAGCATTGATACCAGGGCTCTTGGGAACAATCCTTACATATTGCCATGCAGTCATCAAGCAGCAGTCTGCTTTATTAGTGTTTACTTATCTGAATTATTTGAATGGATTTCAAAGTACCTCAGTAAAACTTGCACTGACTAGTTATCAGGACAGAGACAACTACCAGCAGTCATCGAGTCATGTATTCTGGTAAATGATTGATTTTCAAATACAGATTTTGAGAGATGAATATGTAAATCATACTGTCTATGAAAAAAAAAAACAAAACTCATTCATGTTTTCAGATCACATTAATTTTTTTTTCCTTTTTTTCTCCTGAAATGTGTTATCTTTTACAGGCAGCTTGCTAGACTTCCTTAAAGAAGGAGAAGGGAAATACTTAAAACTCCCACAGCTGGTCGACATGGCTGCTCAGGTACATTGTATAAACCAACAAAACTTTATTTTGTCTTTAGAAGAGAGATTTAAAACTGTATCAGATATCAACTAAATGTAAATACTGAATGCTCTGGCTATTGTATGCTGTTCTGTCTTGCATCTTCTGTTGTAGGTTTGAAATTTGTGGAAAATAAACAGTATAGTTCCCAGTTAGCAGATACCGAATAGCCACCCACACTTTAATCAGCCCTGTCACAAGCTCTTGCTGTGCTATACATCCTGTACTTATACAATGAGAATGGAGCTAAAATAAAGGGGTACAGCTTGATGCTTGGGGGAAATGGATATAGGCATGAAAAATAATCTTTAATAAAACTTTATTTTTAAGATTGCTGATGGCATGGCTTACATTGAAAGAATGAACTACATCCACAGGGATCTCCGGGCAGCTAACATTCTTGTAGGAGACAATCTTGTGTGTAAAATAGCAGACTTTGGTTTAGCAAGGTTAATAGAGGACAATGAGTACACTGCAAGACAAGGTAAGACCCATTTATTTACCGAATAAGTAAGATCCATTACCTTCAGATTACTTAGAACTACTACATTTAGCAGAATGTGTCTTGTGTATTCTGGCTGCATGACTAAAGATTATGTATGTAAGTGTGCTTTCACAGCTATATTTTTAGGTGTCCTCCTCACCTAAGTGCAATTTTAGTAAACTTTTCAATGGTCAAAATTATCTGGCAGTTTGCTTATGTTTTCAAAAAATGTTTTCAGTTATTTTTGGGGGGTAAAAACTTGCTAGAGTTTGAAGGGAGCTCAGATTCCAGAGAGGCTGCTCATCAGATTGTAAAGGTCATCCCACTTTAAAACATACTTAATTAAGAATCCCAGATGTCTTAAGTCCTTCCATAAATTGTAGCCAGTAGTTGCTGCCCTAGTTGGAAACATCTTTCCAGTTTGAAGCATTAAAATACTGGGTTTATGACGAAAATGAATTTTGTCAACAGAGCAAAATGTAAAAAGTTTTTGGGTGCAGTATTCTTAAAAATATTTTGATGTGTAAGCGAGGGAAAATTAAGTATCTGTCTTTCCAATGTTTGAAGGAGCTAAATTTCCAATTAAATGGACCGCTCCAGAAGCAGCATTGTATGGTCGGTTTACAATCAAGTCGGATGTGTGGTCATTTGGAATTTTACTGACAGAGCTGGTAACAAAAGGGAGAGTGCCATATCCAGGTGAGAGGAAAATGTAATAGATTTTTCTTTTCTTTGTTGTATTCTGTGCTTCTGAGGTTACCTTTTATACTTCTTGCCTTCATTCAGAGCCCACAGTTGACAGGCAGAGACAAAAACTTAGTCATGCTTCACTGGTTCCGCTTTGGTTTATTTACAGATTAACTATTACATATTTTTTAAGTGTTTTAAAATAATAACACTCGTAAATGTGACTGATAATTCATTTCAGGTCATTGGGTATCCTTATGTTTTCCTATCTGTCTGCTTCTGAAATTTCTGCTTTTGATGTTTTCCCAGGGTACAGTGGCCATCAGTAGAGTGAACCTGCTAAGCCAGTTTTTGAAAGTAAACATATGTAACATATCTTGTCAAATATTTTGCTGTGACTGGAATTTATAAGGCAGTCCTGATAGGTATATATAATGCCTTTTTCTGGGTCTAATTTCAAATTAAGTAGTCCGTGAACGGAACCTAAGGGAGGCAGAAGGTATTTGTGTTTGAGTCTCCTTTTTGACAGGACAGGCCCAAGGCAGTGTGAAAGTAAATGAATGAGATAGCATACAAATGGACAAGGGACCAGGTACTGAGGCATTACCAGTGTGATAAAATAATTTTCAGAAACGTATTTAATGCAAAATGTAAAAAATTCGTTTGTTATAAGGTGCGTTCATTGAAGGGTCTGTTCTGGTAGATTCATGTGCGTTGCATTACTTTAGGAAACTGTTCTTTGCATGATGTCATTCAGAGCTAAAATGCTTTTCTTTCAGGAATGGTGAATCGGGAAGTTCTGGAACAAGTGGAACGTGGATATAGGATGCCTTGCCCACAAGGCTGCCCCGAGTCTCTCCATGAGTTGATGAAACTGTGTTGGAAGAAGGACCCTGATGAGAGACCAACATTTGAATATATACAGTCTTTCTTGGAGGACTACTTTACTGCTACAGAACCACAGTACCAGCCTGGAGACAATTTATAAGCCAACAGTCTATATAACATGCACAAATCTGCCAAATGTAAAAGACTTGCAAAGAATTCCTGACATCTATAAGGAATCAAAGGAACGAAAATCTTCACTACTTTGCATGCTCTTAATGGCAAACTGGAATTTCATAATGCAGTTGCACAAAACCACTTTTAAAGTGTTATAATCTAATTTACCAATGACATGTTTTTATTTTTTTTTCCTCTTTCCCAATTCAGGGTCCAAAGGAAGCTTACTGAAAATACAGGGTAGAAAAATGAGTGTTGGTGTGAACAATAGCAGAAAAACCAATGCTTCAAATCCTTTATGTTCCTGACATTTGATAATCATTCTACTAAAGAGGGAATTGTCTAGAATGAGTGATCTTGAGGTAAGACAGTTTTAAAGCAGAACAACTTTGTGGGACCAAGCAATTCTGTTCCAGTTCCATAAAATTCCCTGTGTTCAAAATTACATGTGTGTGCCCCCCACCCCCCAGAAAAAGGTGGTACCACTGTATTTGATATATAGTCTTCATCTTTAAGCTTCCTCTTGCATGGACTTAATTAGGGTAGGCAGGTTAAAAGAGAAATTGGAACAGTGAATGATGAACTTGATCTAAATGGTAGACCTCAATAGTGAAATTAGAGAGCATAATGCACTGTGTTAATACTTGTATTAATATAACTGGAAAGTAGCACGAGAGATTTTTCTTTTATTCTTTCTGCATAGCTAATTAAGAATAATGAAGGTAACTAGAAAATGAGGTAATATTTTATAAAATCGTGTTGATAAAGTATGATGATATTTGAACTTGAAGCTATGTAATACAATCAGGGGGGAAAGCCTTTCATTTTTAAGCTCCAATCCAACAGCGAGCTTTTGTATGGGAAGACTACCTGAACAAAGCTCATCAGGAAAGCAAGACTGAAGCTGGTAAACAACCACTTTTTGGTCTTTTTTCAGAGACAGGTTTGGTACTGTTTTATGTGACTTACGTGTGTTAACAAGGGTGGGTGCCACAAATGCTAGCTGTCACAAGTTCAGGGATTTGATTGCACTTTCGCTTTTCTTGACTATTAAGACACACTTACATGCAGTTGCTCTTTTCACTTCTGCCCTTCCTACAGAATTATTTAAATAAAAATAAACAAAAGAAAATGTGAAAGTTTAAAAACTAAAGGGATAAAACGTATTTAATATTGTCCGAACATACTGACATTGAAATTTGCTGGCTTTCAGCCCAGCTGACACTACATCTAGATTTATTTTCCTTGGCTACTGACATATCAAGCAATAACATCATGTCTTTTACTGAACAATTTGCATGAGGTTCTTGAATTTCTGATCAAGCTTAAGTACTTTAATTTTGAAACACTAAACTCTTACTTAGCTAACAGGTTGGAATTCATATTATCATTGTAAAGCTATCCTACAAAAGAATTTCAGAAAAGCTGGTAATATAGTTCTGGTACTAGACTTAACATTCTTCATGGGTTTACACTACATGGAATCCAACTACCAAACAGATCTTTGTAAGAACAGTGCCATCGTTCGTCATTTTCCCTCATCATCGCTCATCACTTGTACATCTGTGGTTATCAAATTTTCAAAGGGCTTTATGTAAGAAAAACAAAACAAAAAAAACCACACACAAAAAAAATAATCAACCCAAAAAATACGATGGAATTTTAATTTTTCTAAATATTTTAAAATGAATAACACAATCATATGAGTTTATGTATTAATACAGTTATAACAAAAAATGCCAAAAATGACGCTGTCATTGTTTGGATTTTTAATTAATGGAACAGTTCATTGTAATAACACTTGTATAGTAAAGGAATAAAACACTAACTTAATGAACGTGTTCATTGTAAATGGTTGTGTATTATAAAACTTCTCCAAATGAGTTTGTATGTTTATGAAAATTTATTTGTTTCACCTGAAGACCTTGATGTGGTTCTTACCCTAACAGAGTTTAAAATTCACATTCACACTTTTTATATAAATAGTAATAAGTTTAATTATGTAACTAAGTATTTTTATAAAGTATGGCATTGTTGAACTGTTTTGCAGAATTGGTTCAAAATAAATTTCTCCTTGATTGCATCTGCTTATTTGAGGGGTGGGAGGAGGGAAATGGGAGGGGGACAAAAGCAGAGTAGCTTCATATTGAGGGGAAAATGAGGGGAATTAAACCTTAATGAGTTTGGGGTGTGTTTTTATACTCTGTAAACTAATTTAATGTACTTTCACACAAGATGCTGAGTTTGTGGTGTATTATTGCTGTGAAAAAGGAGACATTTTGTAGAGCAGTTCAGAAGTCTTTGTCAGGAATGGACTACAGTTCTGTCTGGACTTAGAACTAACCCCGGTGACTGACAGACAGACAGACGCACAGACTTGAGATGCTTGTGAGAGCAAGTCCAGCATAGACTCAGCTGGCAGGCAGCGCCATGCTGCAAGGCAGACACATTTCCTCTCTCTTGTTTTATCTGGTATTAGCAGCCACTCTTGACTTTGGTGCAGTTTTTCAGGGAATTTCACACATTTGTTCTTGCGATAGCTGATTTTTTTTTTATCTCAACTTCATTGACATTAACTGTCTCAGTGACCGCTACAACTCTAACCTCAAATCCTCACGTATATATACAGTGCCACTGTAGATTAAGGAGCTAAAACTGTTTTGAGTTTCACTAATAACTAATACAACACTAAACCCATTTTTACTACAGAACCTACATCAAAATTTACTGTATTTTTAATATTTCCTGTAATGTAATTAATGTTTCACGTATTTTTAATGCAACAATCATATAATTTCTGTGCTCTGCCCATTGTCCATCAGAACCCTGTGATACCCGTTCTGCATACTAGGCCTGCAGATTGTTTTTGTCATGCGTTGTTTCAAGCTGTAGTATTTTAAGACTATTTTCATACTATTTTTGAGTAAAAAATGTGTACGATCATACTGTTTAGATAAAATGCATCCCTATTTTAGCATAAAGCATTATGAGAAGAACCTTACGTGTTCTTATCCTTGCAACCACTAGGCTCGTGAGCAGCTCTTGCCACTGAAAAGTACCCTTGGAAATATTTTTGGGTTTTTTTTTTTCCCCCTCAGTGTCCTAGAGTTTGCTGATGGGTAGAAATAAGCCAGAATGCTATCTCACCCGTCATCACCTACAATACTGTTTATTCTAAAATGCATATCCACACCTGAAATTAGTATAAATGAATATAAACAACTGAGTCCCCACTTTTGTTACTTTGATCTGTTCAATCCAATAAACTTCTCATTTTTTTTTTTAATTCTCTGTGAAGATGCTGTAGGTGTTTGTGCCAGCTTACCCCCAAAATCCAATACTGCTTAGATCTATGCAGTCATGTTGGGTTTAAACCACAGGAGCAGTCATTTAAGCTGAGCAGTACATTGCAAACAGGAGGCTCACATTCTCACACCTTGCTAAGGAATTTAGGACTAAATTTGAATAACTGATTTGGGCAGCATAAGCAGGCCTGGGTGGGTAACTGCCTGAGTCCAGAATTGTGATTCATCCAATAGCTATTGTGTTGTGCACTTGGACTCTTTGTGTAAGTGCTCAGAAGTGCAAGTGCCTTCCTAGTCACACATCCTGATCCTACTTCAGCCTCATCCTAATGCAGGACTGAGACTGACATTGTCCTTCCAGGCATGGCAGGAGGCTGGAGGTCAGTGTGGGACTGGTAACCCCAGTCATGCGCATCTCTGGCAGATGCCTTTTCAGGGCAGGGTGGGAAGAGTCAGTAGATGGCAGTGGGGTGGTTCTATGTGTTTTTGTTACAGTGGTATAAAAACTGGGCTCTGATTAAAAGCCCTGGATAGCTGGTGGGTCTTACACAGGCAGTTGTCAGCTGTGAGAGGCTGTTACGAGGTTGTTGAGAGTGGGGAACAGAACCCACTGCAGGACACAGGCTTAAGCATTTGCTTGAGGGCTATGTTTTGGAGTTTCTCTGCACTTTTCCCTGCTGACACAGGGAGAGCATTAGCTGGAGAAACATAAACAATTTCATTGTTTCTCCCTTAGCGTAGAGACAGGAGGATGGGGGTGAGCAGCTGAGGTGCTAACACTGGGCAGAGGGAAGCAGGTGGTGAGGTGGGACGTGGCATAGCATGTGTCATCTGTTCTCTCTGTCATAGTTTGAAAAGGAGGTAGGAATGCAGGGGAACAGAGGAGCATCTGTTCACTTGTGCACACTGAAAATGGAGCAAGGCTAATGCCAGTGCTGCTACACTGTTCTCTGTGGTGGTTCTGCTCACCCTGCCTGGTTCCTAGCAGAGCCCCTTCATATTAGTTAGGGAGTCAGGAGCACTGTTCTGTCATTTGCAAGAGTGAACCTTGATCGGCCCTTAGATTTTAAAAAAGATTCAGAGAGCCTAACCACAGAGATACTGGTCCCTGGATCCCAAATTGACAGGGATGCTTGTCTCTGAAGCTCAGCCCTGGGATGATGGCACTTCTGACGCTGGCAAAGAGGCCAAGTCTGTAGTTCTGTCTTTCCAAAGAGTTCCCAAGAGAAGGCAAAACGGTTGCCTCACATTTCCAAGAGTGGAAGCTGGCGACTAAATGACTTGCATTCCTTACGTCCCTCTGCCCACCTTCCTCTCCTCTCAGTTCTAACCTAGGTGCTTGCTCTTCGCCACAACTGACCAGCTTTTATTTCTCTATCATGCCACTGTGCAGTAATAGCATGAACACATATGAGAATTCACAGAATTAAAGGTTAGAAGCCTTTAGCAGCCTTACATACCACCTTTGTTTTGTTAATAGTCTTTTTTTAAATGGAAGGTGCCTGGCAAATTGAGCAGCCTTGTTAGAGCAAGGTCAAATGCATACCATACGCTCCCAAGGGAGTTTTGATTTTGTTCTCTATTACCCGCTTCACTTCTGGAATGGCTCTTGTCTTTCTTGGCTTATGACTAGCATAAATACATTCTTTTTGCTGAAAGACTGCGAGTATAATAGAAATAGTTTCCATAATTTACAGTGTAATTCAGTGTTATTTGTTAAGGTGACTGCATCAAAATCTGTGCATTTAATCTTGATGCCTTTATCAAAGGACTACCA